TCACCCTCTCTTTCCGCTTTCTCTTGACTCTACTCCTGACCTCTGTTTAGTTCAGTTATCAATAAATCTTTAGCTTGATTCGACTTCAGATTTCTCCCCTCGACCAATCAATGATGCAATAATACAGAATTATTTTTCTTGCCTTTTTCTCTAATTTTAATTTTTTTTTAATAACGAAGCTTCTTGTCAAATATCTAAAAAAAAAAAAAAAATATCTGCTATAAAAATATGCTCAGTCATCAATAAAACATTCAATTCAAATAACACAATTTAGAATGACTCTGCATAATGAAATGCCAATGAAGAGATTCTCGTTCTTCAATGTAAAAACTGGTCAGTCAACCTTGTAAAGATAAAGATAGCTTTATTACCATCTGAAGAAAAGATCTTCATATTCTTGTGTGGTTGGACGCAAGATGATTTATTTTGCCTTATTTTAATCCGTATTGCATCTTAAAATATTATCAGTCTCATTTCACCTATTCGTATCTTCAGAAAACGAAATTTGAAGAAATTCCCAAAAGATTTGTAAGATACGTCAGGAATTAATTCTTCGAATCTTCGTAACATTTCCTCAAGAATATCTGACATAACCGTTGTGCCAATGTCACGGTCGCTACTGAAAATGACTTCGCCAGATTTGATAAAATCCAGTCTGAAATCTCATTGTCAGATTTCTCGACACATTCCACTTTTCCGAAATAATGCACCTTATTTTATTCGGTTTTATCTGAACGAACCAGTCCATAGAGTGGCACATTACAATATATCTAGATAGAAACATATTATTTCTTCTAAGACATGATGTTTTTATAAGCAACCGATTATGAGTAATTATATGGAAAACTTAACTAAATCTTCAGCATCTCCACTGACGTCAATGCAGCATAAGCAACTAAAAAAGACGAAAAGAAAAAAATTAAACAAAAACAGATACCAAATAAACAATTTTACACTTATTCATGGATTTATTAATTACGAAGGTCAGTAAAAAAAAAAATTGTCCGCATTTTGGCCAAAACATGTACGTGAAATGGGACTGTTAATATTTTAAGATGCAATACGGATTAAAATGAGTCAAAATAAATCATCTTGCGCCCAAGCACACAAGAATATGAAGATCTTTTTCTTCAGATGGTAATAAAGCTATCTTTATTTTTACAAGGTTGACTGACCAGTTTTTACATTGAAAAACAAGAATCTCTTCATTGGCATTTCATTATGCAGAGTCATTCTAAATTGTGTTATTTGAATTGAATGTTTTATTGATGACTGAGCATAGTTTTATAGCAGATTTTTTTAGATATTTGCCAAGTAGCTTCGATATTTCGTTAGAAAAGAGCACGGATAATTTTTGATTTCCATCATATATTAGTTTTACTATAATGAAATAGGCAAATGTATGTGTTGTGATGTCCTAACTCCTTTGTGTTGTCACTCAATGCTCATGCGTACTCCCTTCCTCCTCCTAATCGCAGTCATTATATAACCTGGGTATTTCAGGTATATTAATTAGTTAACCGCTACAATAAGCAACTATTTTAGCAACGTGAGTACTAATTTTTTTTACAATGACATTCACCCTGTACAATGCCAAAGAGCCACTCGAGGTAGCTGGTTACCGAGTAAGAAGCACAACTTATGCGTAAAAGTGTGTAAGATAACGGTTAGCTCTAGATTTGAATAGGTTATGATTGGAGTGATCGGGGAAGCAACATCTTAGGTGTCGGTTCTAGAAGGCTATTGTTCGCGGGAAGAATCTACTCGAATGGAACTTACATCTCACCAAAGTAATACAAAGAGATTGGGGGTGGTCAGCTACAATGGGCGTGGCATAGTAAGTCCTAACCGTGAAGGATGTACTGAAAGAACTAAGGAGTTTATTTCATCTGAACGCTTTCCATGGAATTTTTTGTACAAGAAGTAGGCAACTCGAGTACTAATCACAATCATAAAATTGCTTATTAAAAAAAATAGTGTATGTGTTTTTTAATTAAATTTTTACTAGTTTTTCTTTCCATGTTTTTCCTTAATATTTTAAGATAATGTTTAAATTCTATGATTCAGACTTTGAAAATACGCTTCCAGCAAAATTTGATCTCTTATCCTCCATAGATCGTCTTTGACCCGGACAACGCATAATCGATTTGTCTTATTCGCCCAGGACAGCTAATCAATAGACGTCATTCAAAGTTGTCCATATTCTATTATTCTTCAATATCCGATTCTTACACTGTGCCATATTGTGAGTTTACACTTAAAAGTAATAATAAGTAATTGTCTTAAATTTCAGAATTTCTATTTGAAGTATTGTCGTCCGTTTGCTATATTCATTTCGTTTTTTATTGTTTCTTAACACATCAATCAAGTCGTTTTCGTATTCTACTAATATTAAGTAAACGAGAGTTCAGCACTAATTTTAAACAGATACTAAAGGCAAAGGGTAAGTAAAATAAGCAAGTAACCTACATAAAAAAAAAATCGCAAAAGGATAATATAACAAAGAATGGAGAGGATAGTAAGAAAAAATACAATTATTGATAAGAACCACGCAAGACAGAAAATTGTGAACAGACATGATTGTTCGCGACATTAAAGAACACAAATAAAAATATAGACGAGACAATATAATGGCTACTATTACTCATATTGCAGATAGCGTGAATCAAGGTATATAATGACTACTATTACTCATATTTCAGATAGTGTGAATCGAGGTATATAATGGCTACTATTACTCATATTGCAGATAGCGTGAATCGAGGTATATAATGACTACTATTACTCATATTGCAGATAGCGTGAATCAAGGTATATAATGACTACTATTACTCATATTGCAGATAGTGTGAATCGAGGTATATAATGACTACCATTACTCATATTGCAGATAGCGTGAATCGAGGTATATAATGACTACTATTACTCATATTGCAGATAGTGTGAATCGGTATATAATGTATATAATGACTAATCGAGGTATTACTCATATTTCAGATAGTGTGAATCGAGGTATATAATGACTACTATTACTCATATTGCAGATAGCGTGAATCGAGGTATATAATGACTACTATTACTCATATTGCAGATAGCGTGAATCGAGGTATATAATGACTACTATTACTCATATTGCAGATAGCGTGAATCGAGGGTATATAATGACTACTATTACTCATATTGCAGATAGTGTGAATCGAGGTATATAATGACTACTATTATCATATTGCAGATAGTGTGAATCGAGGTATATAATGACTACTATTACTCATATTGCAGATAGTGTGAATCGATATAATGACTATATTAATATTGCAGATAGTGTGAATCGAGGTATATAATGACTACTATTACTCATATTGCAGATAGCGTGAATCGGGTATATAATGACTACTATTACTCATATTGCAGATAGCGTGAATCGAATATAATGACTACTATTACTCATATTTCAGATGGCGTGAATCGATATATAATGACTACTATTACTCATATTGCAGATAGTGTGAATCGAGGTATATAATGACTACTATTACTCATATTGCAGATAGCGTGAATCGAGGTATATAATGACTACTATTACTCATATTGCAGATAGTGTGAATCGAGGTATATAATGACTACTATTACTCATATTGCAGATAGCGTATATAATGAATCAGATAGCGTGAATCAAGGTATAATGACTACTGTTACTCATATTGCAGATAGCGTGAATCGAGGTATATAATGGCTACTGTTACTCATATTGCAGATAGCGTGAATCGAGGTATATAATGACTACTATTACTCATATTGCAGATAGCGTGAATCGAGGTATATAATGACTACTATTACTCATATTGCAGATAGCGTGAATCGAGGTATATAATGACTACTATTACTCATATTGCAGATAGTGTGAATCGAGGTATATAATGGCTACTGTTACTCATATTGCAGATAGCGTGAATCGAGGTATATAATGGCTACTGTTACTCATATTGCAGATAGCGTGAATCAAGGTATATAATGGCTACTGTTACTCATATTGCAGATAGCGTGAATCGAGGTATATAATGGCTACTGTTACTCATATTGCAGATAGCGTGAATCGAGGTATATAATGACTACTATTACTCATATTGCAGATAGCGTGAATCGAGGTATATAATGACTACTATTACTCATATTGCAGATAGTGTGAATCGAGGTATATAATGACTACTATTACTCATATTGCAGATAGTGTGAATCGAGGTATATAATGACTACTATTACTCATATTGCAGATAGCGTGAATCGAGGTATATAATGGCTACTGTTACTCATATTGCAGATAGCGTGAATCAAGGTATATAATGACTACTATTACTCATATTTCAGATAGTGTGAATCGAGGTATATAATGGCTACTATTACTCATATTGCAGATAGCGTGAATCGAGGTATATAATGGCTACTATTACTCATATTGCAGATAGCGTGAATCGAGGTATATAATATATAATGCAGATACTGAATCGCTCACTATTACTCATATTGGATAGTGAATCAAGGTATATAATGACTACTATTACTCATATTTCTAATCGACTCATTACTCATTGCAGATAGCGTGAATCGAGGTATATAATGATCTGTACTCATATTGCAGATAGCGTGAATCGAGGTATATAATGGCTACTGTTACTCATATTGCAGATAGCGTGAATCAAGGTATATAATGGCTACTGTTACTCATATTGCAGATAGCGTGAATCGAGGTATATAATGACTACTATTACTCATATTGCAGATAGTGTGAATCGAGGTATATAATGACTACTATTACTCATTTTGCAGATAGCGTGAATCGAGGTATATAATGGCTACTATTACTCATATTGCAGATAGCGTGAATCGAGGTATATAATGACTACTATTACTCATATTGCAGATAGCGTGAATCGAGGTATATAATGGCAACTGTTACTCATATTGCAGATAGCGTGAATCAAGGTATATAATGGCTACTGTTA